GAGAGTAAAGAGGGGAGGAAGGAGAAAGAGAGTGAAGGAAAACAGGGAAGAATGAGGGGAGGGGGGAGCCAACATGCTTAAGGGCAGCCAAGCTCTAGTCAAACAGATGAAGCTGTACCCCCCACCCTTTACCCCCCAAACTAATTACGATGTTAGTTAGAAAAAAAATGAAATACTTGCTGTTTCAGGTGTCATTGCCTGGGTGATATGGATATGTTCCTTTGGTTCATTGGTGGGCTTCTGCAGTGCATGCAATGGCATGGTGATATTACAACAGGGGCGGACTGACAACTCATGGGGCCCCCGGGCATTAGGGGATCATGGGGCCCCTATGTCCTCGCCAACACCCAAAAAAGCCTATGAAAAAGCCAATGAAAGGTACCAGGGGCATCTAATGGGGCCCCCTACTGACCCCGGGCCCTCGGGCACTGCCCGAGTGCTCGAATGGTCAGTCCGCCCCTGTATTACAATAATGGGAACGGTCAACATTACTGTACTAGATTATTAGTCTCTATTCCCATAAGAGGCATTGGTGAGGGACATGTGACAGCAGACTTAAGTGGGTAAAAAGCATTTTTTCATTAAATTTTTAAAGAGAAAACTGGCATCCACTTTGTACTGGCCTTAATATATAGCATATGCAAGTTCAGAAAAATTGGTAATTAATGCAAGATATACAGTATGTGCAAATATATACAGTATATATATATATATAAATAAAATGTTTATTCGAATATACACTTACCGAGATCTATATCACAGATCACTTTTGTCTTTCTGCAGAACGTGTTGAAAAAAAGACACTACCCTTTTTTGATTCATTCAAGTGTAGCGCTATCCCAAGAGGAGCCGATGAATTGTTTGGTGATTTCTCTGCACACCTGAAGATGACACATCTCACTCACCCAGCACTTACGGACATGCCAAATTTCAAAGAATTTATTAGAACAAGCAAAGCCTATGAGAAGAAAGGATAAGCAAATGTACTTATACAAACAATCAATAAGAAAATAATGGTACTCTGAGAGATATGGTAAACACCTGCAGTATTCTGAATAACAATAATTAACAGAACTAAACTGCATTTATTTAGCAACAGGATGTAGAGACAGTCCTAACTTGTTATAACAGTCCCCATTTTATCACGCTGGCCAGTGAATGATGGAAAAGAAAAAAAAAATGTTGGCCTGCAAAGTTGAGGATCTTGAAAAAAAAAGCACAACAGGTCACTGCAGACAACAGATTAAATTGTGCAATGTTAGTCTCTTACCAGACCCAGGGCACCCTCTTCTGGGTCTCAAGACATGAGCTCTGATTCAGTAAAAGTCAAGTTCAACTCAGAGAGGGAAATAAGTTGCTGTGATCTCTCTCTTTCAATCTTGCTGAGACCGTCCCTCTTTTCCTTCTTTACAGGTGGTAAAAGTGCTCTCTAGTACAGTGTTTGTAATACAAAGGGGTATTTGACTGTTTCCAAATAAAGAGGAGCAACCCTACTGGGGAAGAACGTTTTCACAGAACCAAGAAACAAAAATATTCAGTGGCCAAAAGGTCTCTCACCACAGTAGGCACTCTTTGAACTCTAGACATTTCCATGTAGGTTTGTAAAATAAGTCCTCCCTCCCAGCAGTAGTTGTCAGTGGTCCTTTCCTGATGGCCAGGAATCTGCTGATGGTCACAGTCACTCGTGGCATCCAGCAAGTAAACTGATTTCCAGTACATGCCCTCAGGGCAGTACAGCATCATATAACTCCAGCGAACTCTGGCCACACACTATTGTTCCCCCTTCATTGCAACCTTGTGATTCTCTCTCCTTTTTTCCTCTCTGCTGGCTTCACACTCCATGTCTCCCTACTCTATAGTATCAGCTAAACACTGTCCTCCTGACCCAGAAAAGATGGGCCCCTGCACTGGAAACACTCAACAGATTAGCATTGCAAAGTGGTCTCATTAAAGATGGCTGCTGCATTTCTGCATTAATGAATACTTAGTTTAACCCTGTCCAAATCAGCTACAGTCCAGGTTATACAAAAACTGTACCTACTGTATGTATATGTTTATAATTATTCAAATGTTCCTACCTTTCTAAATCAGTTAGCAATATATATGTCATGAGTAAACGTTTAATCGTTTAAGTTAGGGGTGATGTCCAGAGGTCTAATTAAGCTTTGGAACATAGGATGTTACTTAAGTTGCTGTTTACAAAAGAAATATATATATATATATATATATATAATTTTTAACAGTAAATGGTCTTATTTTAATTGATTATTTGGCACCTAGAAAGTCCCAAATACAGTATATACCTAGTTTTTTGTAGACACCCCATTGTCACTGAATATAGCCCTGTTAAGAGTCTGTGATGGACCTTCAAAGATTCAGGCACCATTAAGTTTTCTCTGGAGTGACCCTCTAGACATAAAATTAAGGTTCCATACATTATACATATATATTGTACTTGATATTCCCAAGAAATGTTTTCTAGCAGATGTCTACTGTTGCTTACCTGAGAATGGCCCAATAGAGAGGCAATGATAAGATTAAACTCCCTGTTGTCCAACTCTGTATTCATTCCTCTCTGATCTACGATCTTGCTGTGCTTCCAAATTTTGCTGAATGAAGCTGCTTTGTGCAGTAAACGTTGAGTGCCTGGAAAATAAAGCCAGTAAAAGTCATTTCGTCCAAGACCGTTATCTGACCTCTGTTTCACCCACAACACTCATAACCTACAGCACGATGGAAAATCTATCTCCCTTTTTTCCTCTCTGCACCTAACATATATTTATACAGTATATGTTCAGTTGAAATCAAACACTCATTTTTTATCATTCAGCTATAGACAGTGCGACGCTTGTGTTAACATAGTTTAAGTCCTGCATACAAATCCCACTGGCTGGAGGTGGAGTTTTAATAGAGCAAGGAAGGGTTGTGAAGTTTTTAAGGTTTCAGGTACCGGGTTTCTGCTGCTTCCATTCGCCATACGTCCCAATGACTTTTTGTGGTGTTATGTTTTCCAAGCGGTACACCCTCATCTGCTGCCTTCGCAGCTAAAGGGGAAGTCGTTGGGGGAATGGGGGAGTGTAAACATGCAGCTCAACTGTGTCTTTTTACTGTCCCTCCAACTGCAAGTGTAAACAAGCCCTTAAGGAGTCATGAGAAACCTGTACATGGCCCTGTAGCAGTCATTAAGTTAGTGTTGCTTGCCTGGACCTTGTGTTTGTTTATAGAGGGCTAAGAAAAGGCGTATACATTTCTAAAAAGGACATATCATCAATAACCAAAACATATTTTGCTGATGACAAGATAAACCATGCAATTTTCACGGTGACCTTGTGTTGAAAATATTCAATATTATATTGGCTGTACTGTTTTCCAGTCCAGGCCATTCAAATTGCATTCCTGAGAAGTCAAATCATCTGTTTATGAACAATGTCCCTTATTGCTGAACTTTCTGAAGCCTTAGAAGATCCTTTTTTTCGTAGATGCTGTAATAACGTTAAATTGTATTTTTATTACATATGACTAATTCAGCCAAGAAGGAACACAATTATGATACTGAATTTGTTTTTTCAGGTGTTTGTACAGTTTCCAAGACTGGCTGGTTAATGGAAGGGGGTAATCAATATAACCCCATGTCTTAATAATTATCTATTTCTTTTCCTCTATGTGAATTAGGCCTACTACCAAACAAATCTGTGGAACATTTTAAGGGTTGCTAAGCCAAAACAAAATAGTTACATATGAGAGAGTTACTAATAATGTTTGCAAAGGGAGTCCTGTTTTGAGAGGTGGCCACCTAGACTGCTGCCGCGTTTCCTCTCTCCCGTGTCCCAAAAGTATGGTGTGACTGTACAAAGGGATAGAGAGTGAGAAGAAGACTGTCATTGGTCACTGTCATAACTGGAAGCTCCCACCACCGAGGAGAGTACATATAGCACCCCTACCAGCAGGTTGTATGGCTAGTTCCAGTCCTAAGGGACTATGGGAAATAATTACAGTCTGGTGGTTGCAAACCACATTCTTGAGCTCAGGCTCACACTCCACAATCATAAAGGGCCTTGTCAGGGAACTTGTCTTTTGCATCACCTTGTAGTTGTAAGGGACCCCTATCCTGAGGTTCCAGGTTGGGTGCATCAGGACTGCACCGCAACCCTGGCCAATATACACAAGGGTCACAATTCACAAGGCACATGGTCCAGGCAAGAGATCTTTCACTACCACCAGGCTGGTCGATCCTACTTCTCCACCACCACCAGTCCCTTGACCAAACCAGCTACAGCTCTGACCTATCGAGCTTCACTCTCCCCAGTTATTGAAGGTGCTTTACCATCTCCAAGAGACCAGATGACCAGCCCAGCATATTGAAAGGCAACTTTGCTGATTACCTGCAGCCATTCAGCAAAGTAAGCCCACTTTAAATGTAGAAAGTCTTCACTGAACACACCAAAGGGACACTTGTTTACTTTATGCTTTGTACTGAACAACTGGACAGTTTACAGAGTAAACAGGACTTAGCATACCAGACTCAAAAACATGAGAAAATGCTGCTGTCAGTTGCCTGTTGAGTGATGATGTGTTCACGGTGTTGAGCATAACAAACTGCTGCAAACTAATTGTACTCTTCTCTCTCAGACTGCAGACCTGGGGATTATTTGGTTGTCCCCAAAGGGGAAAAGCGTGCATGTATCTATTTATATCTGACTCCTCTTGCCCATGGTTTAGTCAAACCTGACTGATAACAACCTGACCCCCCAACAGGGGTCTCTTACGTAATACTGCTCGTGCCTAGGGGCGGACTGACCATTTGGAAACTTGGGCACTGCCCGAGGGCCCGGGGTCAGTAGGGGGCCCCATGAGATGTCCCTGGTACCTATTTCATAGGCTTTTTTGAGTTTGGGCAAGGACACAGGGGCCCCATGACCCCCTATTGCCCGGTGGCCCCATGAGTTGTCAGTCCACCCTGCTCATGAATTCTCGAAAGGGTTGGCCTTTTCACTGCTCACATTTTGCTGTAGTCCTCTCTTCTGTTTTCCAATGCAGCACTCTCTGAATCCTTCCAACAGGCCACTGAGAGCCTGTACTGGTTAACTGCGTGCCACGTGTGAGATCTGCTGCTGCTGATCCTGTTTCAGTGACAGACTGCAGCTGATCCTGTTCCAGTGAGAGTCAGAGGCTGCAGACTCCACTGCTCAGTCTATTTTGCACATTATATCAAGCTACAACAGCAAATTAAACAAGTCTATCATTACAAAATGATATCAAGGTTCAACAACAGTTATAAGCAGCAAGAGTATATCACACAGCTACTGCAAGTTAAATCATCCAGTTAGAACTTATCAAACTGCAACAGCACATTATATCATGCTACATTTGCTCCTTATATGTTCTTTCACACGGACCCACATCAATCCCTTCAGCAGGGGATCCATGAGCAGATCCCCTACTGAACTGGAGCAGAATGGGATGGATGTCACTTTTTTGACATTTGTGCCTATTTAGGTTTTTGTCCGCATTTTGACAGAGGACTGTGGTGGGCTCATGATGGCTCTGTGGATTGCCAGATGTAAACTGACTTGTGCCCATTTACATCAGGCTAACCCTGATCTGTCATGTTTAGGTACAGATAAAACCTCCATCCAGCCCAACACCTCCCCACCATCAAGCAATTGTGTATCACCACCATCCTAAATTGTATTACATTGTACCTGGTGCTGCTAGAGTTGTTTGTGGTGCTCAGGTGGACCATCAATATGTGGACCACAATCTGCAGGCCAGAAAGCTCCCGAGTATCACTTCAATTCATGAAAAGTTGAACAACATGGGATCATTTGATAAGTGTCAATGTACTCCATTCACAAAGTGGTAGCTTACTGCATCCAAGTAAGAGGTAAAATACTGCACAATGATTTTCAATTTTTTTTTTAATTCACTAAAAACATTACTAAAATACCCCATGAGTTGTTATATGAAGTCGTGCAGTATTTTAGTAGTGAAAACATGTGGTAATTTAATGCCGGCATATTATTTAACAGTAGTAAATACCGCATTGTTAAGGAGCTGGCAGCCACTGGCATCCTCAACAACCAGTAACTGTCATGGTTGTTAAGGAGCGTGTGGCTGCTGCATCCTTAAGAACCAATGGGTCATCAGTGTCAGCAGGGTTTCCCACTGACAGACAGCTGAACATAAACAAAACAATTGCCAGCAATTAAAACTTACCAAAAAAAAAAAGTGGGGGACCCCCCCAATCCATGTCAGGCCCTTCAGGTCTGGTGTGAATTTTAAGAGGAACCCCACGCCAAAATGAAAAAAAAAGTGGTGTCCCCCCAAATCTATGTCAGACCTTTAGGTGTCCCCCCAAAATCCATACCAGTATCATATCTGAGCATGCAGTCTGGCAGGCCAGGAAAGGGGGGATGAGCGAGCACCCCCCCTCCTGAACCATATCTGGGCACATGCCCTCAACATGGGGGGGTGCTTTGGGCGGGGTGTCCCCCTGAAAGTACCTTGTCCCCATGTTGATGAAGACAAGGGCCTCTTCCCCACAACCCTGGCCAGTGGTTTTGGGGGGTCTGCGGGTGGGGGGCTCCTATGTAAATGAGCATGGGGTATGTAGTACCCCTACTCATTCACCAAAAAAGTGTAGTGTAAATAAACACAGGAGGCAGTTTTTGACAAGTACTTTATGAAAAAAAAAATTGTCCCCAGTGTAGATCCAGTATCAATCACGATAAACGCTGGCTGCTGACCCAGAAAAAAAAAAGAAAACCACATCTGACGAAGGCTGCAGCCAAATAACAGCTTCTCCGCCTCCCATCAGTAAATAAACTAAGTTGCAGGGCCACACCTTGTGATGTCATTGACTCAGCATACTCATTCACATGGGGGCGGTATCTGGGGGCTCCCTTGTTAAAGGGGTTTTCCAGATTCTGATAAGCCCCCCGCCGACAGACCCCCACAACCATCGACCATGGTTGTGGGGAAGAGGCCCTTGTCCTCATCAACATGGGGGCAAGGTGCTTTGGGGGGACAAATATATAGTCTGTGGTTGAACAGGGGGTGTGTTCATGGGGTAGGCTACTATTGGGGTGAGGGGGTGCGAGAAGTAGGCTGTGATTGGTCAGGAGGAGGGGTGGCTGAATAAACTACCCAATACAGGCATGTGTACTTTGTGTGATCAGTTTAGAACAAAGAAGAAAGATGACTGGCAAAATCAACTCGGTACTTCACTTGGATGAATTACATGAAAATAATAAGGACTGTGATTTATAAAATACACTTATGTGAACACACAAATAGAAACTAAAATATTTAGGGTAACATGCACATTAAACTTGTTATGGGTCACTGATTCAGAAAGTATTAAAGTCAGAGGCAGCCAGGAAGCTAGCATTTTTCTAAGTAGACAGTAATGGGGTGAGAATTCGCCCCTCATGTTACCAGTGTCAGTGTTTTTTTTTAGCACTGATCACTGTGTTGGTGTCACTGGGGATGTCAGTGACACCAAGTCAGTTCCCCCTAGCGTCAGAATGCCCGCCGCAGTCCCGCTATAAGTCACTGATTGCCACCATTACTAGTAGAAATAAAAAATGTTTTAAAAAAATTCCAATATATACACCGCCATTTGTAAACGCTATAACTTTCACGTAAACCAATTAATTTACACGTATTGGGATTTTGTAGCAGAATATATTTTGGCCTAAATTTATGACGAAATCTGATTTTTTAAATGTTTTTGCTGAATGTCTAATAGCAAAAAGTCAAAAATATTGTTTATTTCTCAAAATTGTCGGTCTTTTTTTTTATAGTTTAAAAAATAAAAAACGCACAGGCGATCAAATACCACCAAAAGAAAGCTCAATTTGTTGGAAAAAAAGGACGTACATTTCATTTGGGTGCAGCATTGCTTGACCGCGCAATTGACAGTCAAAATAACACAGCGCTGTAACACAAAATATGGCCTGGTCAGGAAGGGGGGGTAAATCCTCAGGATGGCAAGTGGTTAAATTGTCACTTCCTCAGTTCAGGTGTGATAACATTGATGTTATGCATGAGGAGGTGACGTCATCAGGTATGATTCCATTTCTGGGCAGGCAGCTGTTTGCGCTGCTAGAAGGAGCCTTGAACTGAGAACGGGTTAATTTAAAGCCACAAAAAGTATTTAATTTTTTGATGAAATTAAGAAATTTGATGTTCACTAAAGCAGATAAAATACACCCATTCACAGACAAAGACATTTGTGAGCCTCTGCCAATCAGACCACCAATGGGTTATGTTTGAAGACTCCTCTTGTACTTACAGATAGTTATACTGAGCAGTTTCATCCTGGATAAGCTATTGAGGGAGCTGTAACTTTTTCCCTTCTGCTGAGCTCTATAAAAAATACTTTGCACCCCCCCCCCTCCCCAGATCTTTAAACTTCTATTTAAGATGATAATATAAACTGACAGATAAGTTTAAGCCGTAGAATTATTTATTACCAGAGGCCTATCCATATAACAAAGAAAACAGGTCCGTTCCAACTTTACATTGTAAACTGATATCTCTGAAACATGGATAATCCAGTACAAAATTTACAAAACAGTTTAGCCTGGAACATAACATTGCTATAAATTACTGCGGCTGTTCCATTTGTATGTAGTTTATGATCTCACAGGGTGGATACCATCAACAGGCAAAGCTTCAATTGTTTTCCTTAATTTACTTTTCTTTAACTGTTGTGTTGCTACTTAATAAAGTCAATATTTACCTATTGGAATCAATCAAGCAGTTCGGTATTGATTATGTTCCACTTTAACCTGACTGTCAATAGTGCAACCAATGATTCAGCTGGAATTGAAGCTTTGCTTCCTGTTTCTGAGACTGGCTCATGTTTGAAGTGCTGATTAGCACTCATTCAAGTTTAAAGGAGGACTCTGGTACATTATGCTTTAATTTCTAAAGGCAGAGCGGTTTGAATAAATAAACAATCCTTTCTATTTTTTTTTTCTAGAGCCTAGGGGCCTCAGGATACACAAGTGAACTGAAGTTCCAAACCAAGGAACCAAAGTAAATTAGTGTATGCTCTTGCTTGGCATTAAAGGACCCATCCACCCATGATATTTTAGGTATTCTGTAGGTGCAGTTTTACCATAACTACTGACTTCATGTCCACGTGGGAATTTCAGATATCCCTGTGTTCTATCTTCTCCACTTCTTTTCTCCATCATATAAAAATAATCCAACAAGGAGAATAGAAACCCATCATGATGGCCACAGTAGAGGTGCAGACCCCATAACTCAAATGGAGAAATCTCATCAACAGAATTCTCAGATGACAAGTTAGGTAGTTTGAGTCTCTAGCATTTACCAAAAACTGAATATCACTTTTGAGTAGACTAGCTCATTAACTATTTAAATTGGAAGGCAAGTCAAGACCAAACCAAGCTTAAATCTACTCCCACCCTCATTCTAAGCTTATTCTATCTACCCTGTAAAAGGAAATATGCTTCTTATACTTACCTATTCTGAAGTTTCTCCGCTCACATGATCAGGCCCCAAAGCCGGCTTCAGTGTAGAGGAGGGACAGCCAACAATAGATGCCCCACAGTAAGCCTATGGGTGACGTCATCAACCATGCTCTGCAGCCATTGTTGGTGATCTCTCCTCTACACTGAAGCTGTGGCATGTTACTGGACCTGAAAAACTTTAGAATAGGTAAGTATAGACATCTTTATTTTTACAGTGTAGATAGAATAGGGTTAGAATGGGGGTGAGAGTATATTTAGGCAACTACTAATTTTTTGGCATTCCTGTAAAAGGTCTTAGGTCTACTACTTAAATTATCCATGGTACACAAGCCTCATGACTGATTTCCCAAAAGCATCATAATGTTACAAAATCATATAATTACAATATAACTATTGCTGAAATAATTCTGAACATACAAATATATACTTTTGTCATTTATTTTTTCCTTTTTAATAATAAATTTAAGTAAATAACTGCCTAGTTGTTCAAAATTTATCACAGCATGTGAAACAATTTTGATTATTTATGTATTTTGTCCTTTCAAAATATATTGAAGATTGTTT